CAAAAACTAAATATTGAGTTATTGACACAACAAAATAAAGGAGTTTTTTCCGAACATTTTGGGACAAACATCGCTCAAAATTGTCAGATTAAACCCCGAAGTGAAGGCGGTTTGAAATTAAAATTCAAAATACATAAGTTCAGGAAAATGGTGTTTTAATTTCTAGTCTGCCTTGTTTCAGGACCGAGGATTGTCGGTTGAGATCCTTTATTTCCTTTTATTAACACAAACCCCATTTAAACTGATCGCTCCTTATTTTTAAGAAACTGGAGAGTTTTTTAAAATCTTCAAATCCAATTTTAGTGACCCGCCCCACCGCGACAAAAAACGATGAACCAAAAATTTTCCCATTCTGAACTATGATCGTGCTTTCTCTGGACGACCACATTTTAATTCTGAAACACCCTGTATGCATGGGAATACATATCTGCATCACAAAATTATCCAAAATTATAATTTTAAAGGTTCGATGGATCCATCGACTGGATGGCGTTATAGCTCTTCGCATTTCGTCAGTTTAAGCCGCTCGTCCACAAAAAAATGACGCACATAATTCAGTTCGCTTATAAAGCGACTTTTGTTCGATATAATTTCGTTCACTTTTGAGATCAGAGCTTTGGAATAATACAACCTAAAAAATATTTTACTCTGCTTGCCACGCGAAGCAGATGAGCGTTGCCACATTTCACTCTTTTAATATGAACTTCTTAGAAAAATTTTGAATTTTTTTCTTTGAATTTTTCGAATGAATGTTATTCGCCATTCAGTCTAGCGTTTTTGAAAGTATCAAGGAAAAGTATCCATATGATAAATTTGTCTATGGTACATTCAACGACATTCGAATGTTTGTGCGACGCATTACCTTGATACGACTGTTTTTGTGGACTTACGAGCTGATCAATGAATTTGATAAACAAAGGGATAGCAAAGGGGCAATGGAGCGATCCTATTGGTTTGAAACGGGTGGTTGTGGTTATTATAGACTAAAAGGGAAAAAATGATGGGCTAACTGGATTGTATTTCGCAAAAAGGAACCAGGAGACCCGCCGTATTGCTAAGATTGTGCAACTTCACCCTTGCCGTAAAACTACTGTTTCCTTGCAAAAAATAGAAAATTTTTAAAGATGATCAGGTTTTTCTTCCAAGACAAAAGAAGTTACCTACACAATCTTAGTAACTCCAATGTACTTGTTTCCTTTTTGCAAAATGCAATCCAACTGTAAGATCTCTCGTGTTGCCGTTAATTAGTCAATTCTTACGTCTTTCGTTCATTGTAACCATGCACACTCCCACCACTGTATCGCCCCATTTCCCCTTTGTCTTCTTTGTCCATAGCTTTGTCTACCACCATCGGCGATCAGCTCGCGGTCCAAGCCAGAAAAAAACTCGCCGGTCGCAAGTATGTTAATCGTTGTTCATACTTATCAAGTCCATTTCCTTATGAGCTCTGAGCTCCAAAAGGGTGATCAGTTAAAATGTCCGGTCTAAAATGTCCAAATATAAAAATGTCTGATTAATAATACCCACTGTTGTAATGTCCTCTTTTTCATGTCCATAACATAAAATGTCCACTGAGCAAAAATACCCATGCTATCTAATGTCCAAAGTACTAAAAAGGCCTGTAACTGCAAGTATCCAAATCCAAGTGTTGTAATGTCCAAAGAAATAAAATGGCATTTAACTGCAAGTGTCCAAAGTATTTCAAAAGGCTGAATCAAAAGGATTCAAAGCATTGTTTTGGCACCCCACGTGAACGTATGGAGATTCATTGACCACCTCTAGGGCCGCATTGACCTACTTGCCGCCTATGGGCCGCCTGTATTTTGTCGCCTCCTTCTCATTCGTATTGAAACATCAATAAAAACCATCAAGTGAACGTGCCAGTGGGGGAGGGGTGCATAAGATGCGTTTACTCGTGTTGAACACATGTTTTGGGAATGCCCTGTCAACACTACCAGCAAAAGTTAAGTTTCGTAAACCTATCTCTGTGTGGACAAGGCCTTTCATTCATAAGAAATGAACAAAAAAATTATGAAAGAACAAACATGAATGTGGTCTAATGCTTTTAACTTCCGCCGCCGCGCCGCGCAGACCGCACTGTGTTTAGCGCAATGCGTGAAGTATTCGTGCAGTCTTGAAGGCGCTAATATGTGTTACATGCCGATCGCCGCGCCGAGGGCTTCTCCTTTTCATCTCAAGCCCTCGTCTTCATTGCTCTCTGCGCCGCGCCGTTTCAGGACAAATCGCGTGTTTGGTTTGTCTCTTCACTCGACTACTTAAAGATGCTGTCTCTTGTATCACTGAAAGACGACAAAATTAAAAATTACTATACTCTTAGGAAATGAGAGATTTTGTCGCCTTTTCTCGTTTGTATTTTTTTTTCTAAATCCTATATTTTTTTATACCTACATTTAAAAAAATTGCAAAATTTGCCGCCCTCTAGATTTGCCGCCATGGGCCGCGGCCCATGTGGCCGTCCCCTTAATTCGGCCCTTACCACCTCAAAGCCCAAGAGCACGGTATTGAACAACTCATCGTCCAAAGAAGAGGTGCTCATGATTAGATAAAGCACCCGATTAGCCGTAAATACATCACAAACCAGCAAAGAGCGGAAAACATCGTTCAAAACTATGAAATTTATAAAGAGGACACTGACATTTACTTGAGAGCATTGGCAAATCTGTTGAAGAAGCTTGCTGTGGAGCTTACTGGTGAGGAGGAAAACTCCTAATTGCGTCAATGATATAGGTAATGTTGTTTACTCAGGGCCTTTTCAGTTAAGTGTCATTTTAGCGCTATGGACATTAGAAAACATGGGTATGCTTGTTAAAAGGACATTATATGTGATGGACATTAACAATAGGACATAGGACATTACGACAGTAGGTGTTTTTTATTGGACATTCTCACAGTTGGCCATTTTAGACTGGACATTTTCGCCTGTCACCCTCCAAAAGATTGCCTTTATTCTAGAGCTCGCCAGATATTGGACCTAATCGTTTATACATTGACCGATCCTGCCGTGCTCAGCAGGAACATCACATGAAAAATCGGATGCTGCCAAATTTCCCTCGAAAAAATATTTATTTTTAAGGGTAGTCGCATGCATGCTGACGCATAGTTTCAAATCCTTCGGGGTCGTATTCATAGTCCTTCCTCAAACAGCTTCTTTCCTCAGACGGCTTCACGTGACTTACATCTCAATCAAAGGAGGTTAAAAAGGAAAATATTGACAAATCTAAGGTAAAATTTAAAAGAATTAAGTCCGGAATCGATCATCGCAAGTAAAAACAATAAATTTGCTACGACTGCAAAAAGAATAAAAATATCGATGAACCTATTCTACGCTTTTGAAAAACTTTAAGGAAGGTACAAGTCACTTTAAAATTTTCGAAACCGGTAAATTATTGCGATCCTTTGCAAAGATTTCCGCAATTGATTGTTGTATTTCACTCTGAATTGGTTGACATTGTTGATTTTCAGATGTTAATGTTAAGGATCTCGTTTAATGCCCCTTTACATTGTAAGCAACAACATTGTAACACTGTAACATTACAGACGGTTGTAACATTGTGAACAACATTGTAAACAGCATCGAAGGGTGAAACTGTAAAACTGCATATCTCGTTTCCAGTGTTGAAAATGTCTGCTCTCATTTCTGTTTTTCAAATAGGCGAACAAACCAGCACTATCACTTGAAATTTTCACGGAAAGCTCTTCACACACTAAAACAGAAAAACCAAAGAATTGTCAGGAATTTAAACGTCGGCTGGTTTTTCGATGAGATTATAAAGTTTATAACAGGAAGCCTGCAACGTCGCAAACCAAAGTACGCGTTTATGCGGTTTCACCGACGATAAATCGATGACCAAAGTGCGAAACCACTTACCTCTGTTTGCGACGTTGCAGACTTCCTGCCATAAACTTTATTTTTTCATCGATACCAGCTAACGTAATTCCTTGAAAATTTCCTCTATTTTCCTTTTTTGTCAGCATAATATTCAGTAGCAAGTTCAATCTGTAAAGTTGTCTTGTTCCTCTAGGAAAAAATAAAATAGGGGCGGAAATTTGGAAACACCGCAATGGAGATACGCGGTTTCGCAATTTGGTCTTCGGTGTGGAGTCTCCGAAAGAGAAAACGACGCACAACAGAAAAATCAAGGAAGTTTTCAAGACATTACATTGATTAGTTTCCCTAAAAAAATAAAGTATGGAGAAAAATAAAATATTCCCTAAATGGAGATACGTGGTTTCGTACTTTAGTCATCGAAAAGCAGTTCAAGGAACGACGCGACGGTGAATACTGCCCCTCAAGATCGGAGTGCTAATGAATTTTTTTGAAAAATCAAAAGACATCACTGAAAAAAGTTACGAGCTATATAGACATACCGTCCGTTCCGGGCTAAGAGACCGAAAGTTCCGGGCACTGGAGTCGTAGCCTTGATTGCTCCGGATGATACGCCCGGAATTTTCGGCTTCTTGTTGGCTTGTTGTCGGGCTGATTGTTGAAATTGATCGACAAAGCTATAGACAAAGTAGACAAAAAGGATATGACGGAATCCAATTGGTGGAAATAGATGGTTGCAATGGACAAAGGAGGTAGGTAATAGACTAACTAACGGCAACCCACAAGAGATCACCCCATAATTAGTCCATTCATTATTCCAGTCTATTAGAACCACCCAATTCAACCAATGCATCGCTCCATATTCCCTACGTCTCCTTTGTCCAGCGCTTTTTCCATCAATTTCAATAATCAGCCCGTTGAGCCCGGAACGTGGACAGTTTATACACCTATACAGCCCGTAAGTACAACTTCCACAGCCGGAGTTTTTTTCAGCGATTAAGTATATTTTAAACTTTCCGAGAAAACTCGCGTTGAATCCGAGGAGCCTTGGCAAGTTCCAAAGGCTCATGCGATGTTTTTCGTCTGCATTCACGTACAGAATTCGAATCCCAAGGCGACGGGACGGGTTTTAAGGCGACAGCGCTGCCGCGTCACGTCAGTTGGGTTGTTCCCGGTGACGGAGTCGGAGAGCAGAGCTTTGGAAGCTGCCCTCGCGTGGAGTCGGTGATTCAGTCCTCAGCGTGACCGCATCGATTTCACTGGGCCGTTGCCGCAGCCGTTGTCGTAGTCCTTGCCGTTGCCGTTGATATCGGTTGCGTTCCGCGCCAACGCGTGACCCGACCTCTCGCCGGAGCCCCGATTCTCTTGTCACTCCTGTGCGCCCGTCTCGCGCCCGCTTTGGATAACCCTCCGCTCCCGTTTCGACCTATCCAAGTAAGTGCTCTCGCCCAGCTATGGGCGACCCCTCCGGTGCGATACCGGAGACCGTATCCTAGGAAAAACTTGGAAAATTGGAGGGTCAAGTGGATTGCATTTTGCAAAAAGGAACCACTAACATTGCAATGATGCTAAGATTGTGCAACTTCATCTTTTGCAATAAAATTGCGGAGGTCGTGAAAAACTATGAAATTTAGATGGTCATTTTTGTCTTAAATTTACAGTTTTTAGCATGTGAAATAGAAATTATTAATGGATAATCGGGTTTTTCCCCCAAGACAAAAGAAATTGCACAATCTTAGCAACATTGCAATGCTAGTGGTTCCTTTTTGCAAAATGCAATCCAAGTGCATGAGCCTGCGGACCGATTATTGAAATTTATAGACAAAGCTATAGACAAATAAGACATACGGAGCACTGGAAAAGAAACACATTGGATCTAGAGTCCAGACTCTTAAAAACATCGACAAGAAAAAATACTTTTGATTCAATCGAATTTTTGCTTAAATCAAGAACCAAGCCTTTTAATTTGAGCGGATTTCCTTTTGATTTAAGCTTAAATCTGATGGAATCAAGAGTATTTTTTCTTGTCAATGTTTTCAAGAGTCTGGACTCTCGATCCAATGTGTTTTTTTTTCCAGTGTAAGGAAGAAAATGATGGATTAACCATAGGGTCCCTCGTAGGTTGCAGTTAGTTAGTCTATTACCTATCTCCTATGTCTATTGCAACCACTCGCTTCCACCAATGGGATCCCTTCACATCCATTTAGTCTCCTTTATTGTCTATCACTTTCAATAATCGGCCCGCTGTTCAGCACTAGGACCGAAAAACCAAGATTCATCACGGAATGAACAATTTCAGGGAAAATCAGGGGAAAATCAGAAAATCTGCTCAAAAAACCGGAAACTTCTTCTTTTAAAATAATAACAATTTAAACAGAGGGTATAACAAGGCTTTTTTACACAAATGACGCACCGAAACGTTTCGGCTGAAAACGCAGCCTTCCGCAGTTGGATAAAAAACCAATAAAAAATTAAAAAATCTAAAATCTTAGTACGCGGCTATAATAGTTACCTTTCGAAACGAGAAGAATGTTGTTCTCCTTTTACCTACCGCTTATAGACCATTGCATTATTGCACCTGAGCCGTCATTATTGACATCCTATACGAAATATTTGAATCGTCAAACCATCAGAGTGATAGAGAAGCTTTCATATTGACCAAATAACATAAACATCAAACAACATGAACGCTCTCGGAATTTAAAAATTGGACTGCGCATCAAAGAATCGGCTGAAAGATGAAACAAGCAGGAAGCTCCAACGCATTCGCGTCGGAGAGCGGCTCTGGCGACAGTAGTTGTAGTCAAGAATGAGGGCCTAGACACATTTTGTCACTGATGTACAATCCGACAACTGTCGATTCATGTTTTGTAACTTAGCAGATTTACGTAGCCGGTGTATAAATGTGTATTGGCCCTTGATATGCAGGATGCATGGCACTATCACTTGTTGTATACTTTTAATTTTGAAGGCTCTTTGGAGGTCCGCATCCTAAAAAATCTCTCCCACAGTATTTTTTTTAACTTGTCGTTGTGATTGGGCGCCAATTTCTTTCAATTGAGTGATCATCTTCTTTTTTTGTCAAATAACTAGTTTGTGCAACAATAAGACTGAAACTGACTGTAACTGAAATTTTGTCTTTTTAGATATTTGGTTATTTTGTATTTATTAGATTGTATATTTTCACAGCCCTGTGATAAGAAACTTTGGAATGCATGGTTGATAAGTCGTTTAGCGAGGCTGCAAAAAATTTGCATTTTTATATCTGAAATTGTAGGTAATGGTTTTGAATATCGAATTGCGATATATTACACGGTTAAGATAGGGCTATATGTCTTGTCGTAAGCGGCGACATAGAGTCGATGTCATTTCAATAATCGCCCCGATGGCCACGGTAGTTGTTAGACGTTTACGGTTTCCTTGGTAACCTTTGTTTGCTATCAGCTGATATCGAGTAATATGACTAGGAAGCTCCAACCCAGTGGTTGGAGCTTCCTTAACCGCGAAAACTTTAAAATTCAAATTTTCAAATTTTGAACGTAAAGTACATTTTTTCCATCACGAGATTAAAGCACAGACAAGTTTTGAATTATTGACTGTATCACCATGATTCCAAAAATACACTACACAACATAGCATTGGCTAACAATAAAACAATATGCAATAAAATAAAGTCATGACAAGGAACATAGCCGAAAATGGCGCCGATTCCCATTAACCAACGCGCGGTCTCTGCAATGTAACATGGTCCAATGATACTCCCCAGCTGGGACCGTCCGGAATAGCAGCTCTAGTGCAAGCACCAGAGCCGCTAAAAAGAGAGATCGGATCGATACTCATAACTAGAAACTCATAACGGAGCGTTTTATTGCTTTTCCTATAAGAGTATCCCAAGCGAGAGGGAGAAATCTTCGATTTTTTATCGGGAATGAGCTCGAAAAAATCAAGGAATGAGCACGGTCCTTCCACTAACTTTGCTACTCCATCGTTAAAGTCTCTGAGGTGTATCGTGGAATGAGGGCAACGGAGCTCACAGTTTGTGTTTCATCTTAATCATCAACATATTTTAATGTATTATAACTGAGTTTATTGACTTTTTCTCCATATTTGAGGGTAAATGACGTAAATTTGAAGACAGGAATCTAGTGCATTATAAGTGCACATTTCCCGCCGAATCTGAATATCTGTCATTTGAAGTGCAGCGCTGTTCAGACCATTATAATGTTCCTGTATGGACGAAAGTTTTTCGATTTACCAAACTAATTCCATGTACATTGCTTTGAAATTTGTCCGTTTGTTCTGTCTTGAACAACCCCCTTAGCTCAAAACTGGGGCGGAACTATAGGAGTGTTCACCCTCGTATTCAGTCACTCTTTCATATACAGATATAGTACTGAATATACGAGCAGGGTTACCACTCAACCTGGGCCACCAAAAGTTCTCTACTCAACTCTTAAAGTTGGGTCGGCAACTCTACTCATACATTTCGTCCCGCCTATATCCCTGAATATAGATTGCCTTTATGATCGCTCTCACTATCACGTATCGAACTAACATTGTAAATTCAATTCTAGAGCTTTTTATGAGCTTGAGAGTTGATTTAAGGCAAAATTAGTGGCGTAATCTCTTTTCCCGAGAAAGTAACATCGGAATGATAACTGAATCGAAAATCACGGTCTCACCTATAATCTCGTAAAGAGTGTTGCTTTTGCAAACAGATCTTTAGAAGAATGTGTAACTTCGTTGCTTGCTTCGATTTTTTCTATTTTAAGCCGTAAAATCTCAAAAGAGACAAAATGAGGATGATTAGTCTTAATACTTGCGTACGTGTAGAGACAACACGTGTTGCGTAGGTAGAGGCAAGACACAAAATTGCAAGGTCCGTTGGTTTCATTTATACCAGGTGATAATTCTCGGAGACTTTAACGAAAGGGTAGGAAAATTGAAGAAGAAAAACATGCGTGGTTGATTTCAATTTTGTGCTTATACTGTTCACTGTGTTAACTGAATGCCAAACGACATTTCATCCAAAATTGAGTTAACTTATTCCTTACAATTACAGAAAATTTTACAGAGTCTCAAAGCATTATGTTGTTAAAGTTTTCGGCAAAAAAAATATAATATGTGGAAAAATTAACCAACGTGAATGCAAGGCTCACACTGGTAATTGCCATCTATATGATCACTTACCTCCTCCCCCCATCATAAAAATATTCTCAAATGCCCTCTTTTTTGAAAAGGAATGTTTTGCCATGAAAGAAGCAAAGAGACCAAACAGGACTTCTGATATACATAGGTTGTCCCAAAAGTACTGCACGTTTTTTTTTTTTTTGGACGAACGGTAGCAGATATCAAAATGCGGTTTGTGTAGTCTTAAAGACAGAGCAATTACCGATAAAACAACACAAATCCGAGCTCTCTAAGTCAAAAACTGACCAAGTTGCAGGGTTTTGAAAATGACTTCCAGAGGGGACCCCTACGGAAATTTTAGCTTGTTTTCTGGAAAAAAAAAGAAACAAAGATTTAAAGATTCAAGATCAATTGGTTTTATTAAATCAATTTTACACAATCTTACCAAGATTACTGGTATTTAATCCTCCTCACTTGACGACTGGACACAGGTTTCCTTCTCAAAATACCTTCCATCGCTTGCCACACAGCGCCGCAACCGTTCTTTCCACTTCTTCAAACATGTTTTTTCGAATTCTTCTTGCCTGATGTTCTTCAAGAAAGTTTCAACAGCTCTTTTTATCTCGTTGATGGAGTTCAATTTCTTGCCTCTTAAGCCCTTTTTCAGCGTAGAGAATAACCAAAAATCGCAGGGTGCAAGGTCCGGGCTGATATCATGTTGCCAACCTCATTCGATCGCGATGATTTCTCTGTAGAATTTTTGATTAATCAAATCTTTGTTTTTTCCAGAAAAGAAGCTAAAAATCCTGGAGGGGTCACCTCTACAAGTCATTTTCAAAACACTGTAACTTGGTCATTTTTTGACTTAGAGAGCTTGGATTTGTCTTGTTTTATTGGTAATTGGCCTATCTTTAAGACTACACAAACCGCATTTTGATATCTGCTGCCGTTCGTCTAAAAAAAAAACAATCAACTCTTTGTTTTTTCCCCAGAAAAGAAGCTAAAATTTCCGTAGGGGTCCCCTCTGGAAGCCATTTTCAAAACCCTGTAACTTGGTCATTTTTTTACTTAGAGAGCTCGGATTTGTGTTGTTTTATCGGTAATTGCTCTGTCTTTAAGACTACACAAACCGCATTTTGATATCTGCTACCGTTCGTCCAAAAAAAAAAAACGTGCAGTACTTTTGGGACAACCTATGTAAATACCAATTTAACTCGCCCATAATAATGATAATTTATGATTTCAAGACAACGCTCATTGTGCGACAAAAGAGGTTGGTGAAATAACTCGTAAAACTGTCTCGTATATATTGGACGACTCGTTTGGAGTATGTGCATACGTATATTTGTTTCATTTTATCACTCGTACAGTGGTTTTTGTGCAATGCCACTCAGCAACAGAATACTTACTCCTCTCTCTCTCTCTCTCTCTCCCCCTCTATATGTGGAATTGGTTGGATGTTGAAAAAAGTCATTTTCTAGTTGCATTCCAATTTAATTTAGGCTACCTTCTTGTATAACCCTAGGGTAGCGATTTTCGAATGATCAATACATTTTAATCCGAAAATACTATCTTCATGGATTGGTGCTCATTATTTTTTTGGTTTTCAAGTATCGCACCTTCGGCTCGAAATCTTATGGAAGGTAGCAGCAGCTCTGATTTTACGATTTTTTCCTGTTAATTTTTTGCGGGTGTTTGGAGGTTCACATCGTTATGGCTAAAGTGCAATTCCACGTTACTCCATTGCGGTGTTTCCAAATTTCCGCTCCTATTTTAATTTTAAATGAAAAACAAGCCAGTTTTATACCTAGAAAATTGCACAGAATACTTCGCTGATAGATGAAATTTTACTTAGACTATTTTTTCAAAGCAAAATGAAAGCATGACTGGAAGTCTGCAATGTCGCAAACGGAGGTACGTGTTTTCGCACTCATGCCATCGACACACTCTCGTTCGAAAAAGGTAGAGAGGAAAAAAAGTGAATATTTAGCAAACAAACTAATTAAACTCAATTAAAACTCATCATTTGGGTTTATTTATGATCTGGATTTCTTTATCGCCGTATTAAACTCTTTTTGTCGTTTGACTCGAAACCATGGACCTTTTCTAATTCTGACTGCTCTGAAGTGTAATGAAGAATTTGTATGCAGTGAGTGGAGTGTGATTTGCATCCAAAAGTGAGAAAGACTGATTGGATTTAAATTGAAAAGCCGCATTTGTAAGTGCTTTGAGCGGTTGTGATTCTCCGAGGAAAATTTCCTATCAATCAGAGCTGCAATCAAGAAAAGCGCTAATGAGATGGAAATCTTGCAGGCTTAATTTTTCTCAAGGTTTCGACGTGGGTGAGATGAGTATATCTCAGCGCTATAGGACTTGTTTCCCGCCCATTTATCAAATTTCACTGATTTTTGAAGTAGCATCAGGTTTTGAAGTATATAATTTCGATTTTGGCGGTAGAATTTTTTCTTTAAAGCGGGTTGATAATGCTGTTGGCTAATATTAGCCCTCTATATAGAGGTCAGTTGTAGAGACTGATCGAGCAGGCTGATAACACTGGCTTTCCTCCATTTAAACCTGTATTCAATTATCGATTCTTGTTGGGGCATTCGCCCCCGGAGAATCGATTTATTTTCATGGGTTTAAATGGAGAGAAAATAATATTGCCAACCTCCTTGACCCGCCAATGAGCGAGTAAGGCGCTTAATGCGATTTTCTTGTAAGTTTTCTAATTGCAGTAATTAATCGGGTAAAAAAACCATTTACTTTATTTTTTAAATGTTTATCTTTCTCTGATCATCAAAACCTGAGCCTTAATAGCCTAATCTAGCTTTTCCTTTATTATGTTCCAGGAAAATGGCTCCTATAATATCTAACGACCTTGATAAATATTTTTCCGATGTTGATATTCCTGACGAATTACGTGACGATATTGATAGTCTAAAAGCTTGGCTTGAGAAGCAACCACATCTTCCAAAGGTTTCAGGTGAGTTTCAGCAAAAATTTCAGCAAACCAACCAGTTTTTTTTTTTTTTTTTTTTTTTTTTTTTTTTTTTAAAGTAAACATAAGTTAATTAGGTATCTATTATTTTCGAACTCAGATTATTTTAATGAAAATAATTGATTCATTTCATTTGGAGCCAATGCAAGGCAAACGAGTAACGTTACCCAACTCTTGTGTGGCTTAGTTTTTCTGAAAATTCGCAAGATTCATTTTATTTTTAACAATTCGAACATTGGCGGATTCAGCAAATTGGCAACATTGTTTTTCTCCATTTAAACCTATGGAAATGTATCGATTCTTGGAGGGGCCAGGTGCTCCGACAATAATCGATTATTTAACACAGGTTTGAATGGATGGAATCCGGTGTTGCCAAATTACTGGATCCGCCTCGGAATTCGAAATGGCCAGCTCATGTCACTATGTGATATAGCATGGCTACTCGTCTCGTTTAAAAATAAAATCCAGGGGAAAACATCATGTAAAGCAAAAATCAGATATATCTCTCATGTTTCTTGTAAGGTTACACGTTATAAGAATAAACGACAGAAGCACGTTTGGGGTCACGCACGTGAAATACTTTTTCAAAATTATGGGCTGCTGATGTACGAGTGTGTAATTGCGAAAGATTGAGCCTAATTGCCGTGCGCATGGATAGACAACGTTCACGGACAGATTTTGTCATGTTTCATCTGGGCGAGGTATAAACTCTACCTGCGAAATTATGCAAAGCGGTAACGTTTAGTGAGGATAATTTTTTCGCTAATTTCAGTCTAATTGTGAGTGTTATAAAGCTGCAAAACTGAAGATCTCGGACAATCTTGAGGTCTCGGCCAGTTGATTGATCTTGACACCAACACCAATAATCGGTTTGATGATCATTTGTCACCATTAAATTCGCCATCAAATGCGATACTGCCAACTTGTGTCATCGCAAATTTGTCGGCTTAAGTGATTTCACGTGTGCAAGTTTAACCCAAAATTAGCAACACCGGTCGTGCGGATATTCTATGCGTGGGCCTTGGGTGTTTTTTTTCGCTGTAGACGGGCAAAAAATACTTTTTTCTCGCGAATCGCTCACCGTGTTTTTTTAAGTATCGCTAAATGGTGATAGTATGGAGCGGGTGGTAATTTCTGATTACCATCCATTACTTCCTTGCCTTTGTGCATCTATCAATCACAAAAAAATGCTACCTAAAGCTCAAATCGAGGGCGCCTTTTGTGAATAGGAAGGAGGAAGATACTACGCCCACACTTCGTCACTATGATAAATTACAGATCCATTGACTCATACATCGACTAAACATATAAGAGGATAAATACAACAAATATCAATACAGTCTCTTTTTTAAAGGATTTTTTTCTCTCTTAACTCACCACCAGGAACTCAGGATTGTCACTTTTTTTTATACATCATCGATTCAGGATGAAACGCATGTTTATGAGGAACACAACACACCCAGGCAAACACTGTCCATTTATTTCAGCCACTTTTCCTTTGCTTTCTTTGTTTCTGTCAAATTTAAATAAATTTAAGGCAGTCTTAATAAAAAACGTACTTACAGTTGACACTGTCAGCAATTTGAAGGGTGGTTGCTTCCTTGAAATATTAAAGGTTGATGCACACATATACCTATCTAGAGAGGAATATGAGCGAACTAAAGCTGATAAGTTTTATCACTGAAAAAGACTTTATAGTTGTCGGTTCCTCGCAGAATTTGAGCTTATAGTTGAAATTTTTTGGTCGTAATTTAATTTTTGAACTTATGTGATCCGTGTGATTTTCTTCTCCGAAGAATTTTAAAAAATTAGCATGAATGATCTCATTCAGAGCCGACAGAATGAAATAATTTTGATTCAATTGACATTTGAATAATTATGAAATATGGAGAAATTATTTAAGTATCCCATACCTGCATACCCAGTCGATTATCTTGATCTGCTTCATTCAGTCAGAAGCTAGGCACTATACCGGGCCATACTCAGCTCGACTTTACACAAACTGACACGAAGAATCTTTAAATGAATGCTCTTATAAATTTTCATCAAAAGCAGGGCTGGAATGCGCATTGAACATTCAACTTTTTCCTCTGATATCATCTTTTTATGGGTACCTACCTCTATCATTGAAATTCTAAAAATTAGGTAGCCGCAGACGAAGTCATAGTAAAAGTGGCACTCGCACAATTTACAATTTAAATTATAATAACGCAAAATTCTAGCAAGTAATCCGTGTAATAATGTAACTTGATATTCTGAAATCAAATGTTCATGGTTTTGACGTAGGTACAACGACCAGCGATATGCGTAAAAATACGAGTATGAAAAATCTCGACAGAATATCAAGAACCGAAGATCTCTTTAGTTAACCGATATTCTGGGGTAACAGTCAATAACCTTTTAAACGAATACTACAGACAGATTAACCTTGATCGTGAAATTTTGCTTGAATACGTCGTCCGTAATTTGATGCATGCGTGGGTTGTGCTTGTGGGAATCACGGAGTCATACAAAGCAAGCAGGAAAGATAGTTAAATTCTAAATCGTCGCAAAAAAAGGACAAGTGGATAACTGGAGGGGAAAAATCCATCGCAAAAAGTAGGTAAACGGTAATTTTTTCCCTCTTGTTATTTTCCTGTTCCGGATAAAGACGCGGTATTTTTTTTCTGTGCAAGATAATCTTGAGTGAAAGGGAAAATGAACAAATATCATGCGTCTGAACATCTTTTACGTATGTTTAGTTTCAATGCTCTCCCACAAGCCATGGAAGATTTCTATAAATTCCAAATCGACTCGTGAGTTTTTTACCTACCTTTAGTTAAATTCTACCTCTGAGCGTGTAGTTCTCGCGTTGAGCCATGGGCGGGACCAGGAACTGTTCGTGGGGTTGGGGAGGGGTGCAAAAGGGTACCACATCAACGGAGCTGGGGGACTCAAAAAAAAACTCCACCAATGGGGGTCTGCTCGCAATTTAGTTACATCCCTAGTTCCAAAGGAGGGCTCAGAGAATATTTCTAACTTTAAAAAGGCCCCCTCCGGATAATTTTGAAAAATCGAGTCGTCTCAGGAGCAGTGTTTAGCTGTTCTCGCAGAAAAATTGATTGAAATTACAATTATCAAGATATCATTTGTTTTGTTTTTTTAATTTATGAGGAAAATTAAAGGGAATGTCGAAAAAATGTCCAACATCACAGAGTAGCCGTAGCGGCAATCGACTAATGCCATTAAAATCACGCTTCTTCATCGTTCCATGAAATATATGCGTCAGTAGTTAAAATATTTCAATTTTTCTACCTCCCACACCTCGGTGGAAAATGAAAATTTCTTCGCCGAATCTACTTATTTAACTTAAATTATTTACTTAAATTATGCGAAGTATTTTGTAGGAATTCCTTGGAATCCACACGTGAAGTCTCATCGACCATTTCACCTCTTTTCAAAGAATCACACCATAATTTCAAAACCATGATAACAGTAGAAAAAACAAGGAGGAAAAACGGGAAACAAGGCTAAAAATACACAATTAATAAAACCCGAGTCGTTTCGACTCAAAACTGAGTCATTTTCAGTCTGAAACAATAAAAATTTAAAATTTCCCGTTTTTCCTCCTCGTTTTTTCCACTGCTAATTTCAAAACCTTCACACTTTCCTCCTTTATTACCATTTCACTTTATTGCCGATGNGGGGGGGGGGGGGGGGGGGGGCTCCTGCCGCCCTGTAGTGGAGGAGATCAGAAGCCTCGTCGTCTGAGCACCGTCCGCCGCGCACAATGAAAAATCCGCCGGTTGCAATGCCATAAAAAGGCGTTAATTATCTTCCATTATCATAACGTCAGTTTTGGGAGCACCAGACTGCTGCGCGCCGCGCGCGCGCGTTGTTTTTTATTGACGTGGACGCTCCGACAAACCTGTTTGTGTCTCAACCGTTGTGTGGTGTACCTTATCCATTGACCACTAGAATCAACCCGTGGCCCGTTCTCGGCCGAG